ATATAACTTACTACTCACTGCAGTGAGTGACAGAGAGCGCATTTTATCGTCGACGAAAACGTGAAGTCACGGACGGACGGACAGACAAACGGAGAGACGGACGGACGGACATGGCAAGCACCATAGTGCATTTTTTCCATAAATGAGAAAATGTGCTAAAACATTAATAAAATTGAGAACAACTCAGTCGTCGTTCTGCCCAAAGCCAACCAAAGCCAAGGTCAGACAGCCTATAACCGCGCTAAACTTGTGGGTCACAAGAGACGCCACGGCGAGAAACAAGTGTGAATTTGTCCAAATAGCTATGCACTCTTTTGACCTTGTGTTAGTCATTCTGACCCACTATGGCGTAGCAAAATGACATCAATGCTACGTCTGTTCTCTGCTAGTGTTGTGGGCAAGAAAGTGTGTCAATATTTGGCTCTTATCACCCACACATTTTCTGAGTATAAAACAGCTTTCTCTCACATGGCCAATCCGCGCTGCAACCTGACGTCATCATGAGAGTAATTTTCCACCGCTTTTCTACAGAGAAAAATCGAGTAGTGAATTTACGTGGAATAACCACATGAGGGAGCGTGAGTGAAGGCCGGCGCAGCGCAGCGAATGACCGACGCGTGAAGTGAAAATTGAAAAGTCAGTGTCACGGACGAGGACGAAATTTTCTACAGACCCGGGTTCAGGTGGTCAACAGCAGACCCCGTTTGAAAATGGTTACAACAGATCACGGGTGGGAATGGTCACAACAGACCATGCTTGAAAGTGGTCACAACAGACCACTGCTGAAATGATCACAACAGACCACTCTTCAAATGGTCTTAACAGACCAGGTTCAAGTGGTCAACAGTAGACAACGTTTAAAAATGATCACAACAGACCATGGGTGGAAATGGTCACAACAGACCACAGGTGGAAATGATCACAATAGACCCCGTATGGAAATGATAAACAAAATACTATAAAACGAAGGGATTCTACGCTGTATAAATCAGGAGCTAATAGTTAATGCATTAATCGTACGGAGCTTTGAAGAAGACAATGAAGGAAACTAAAGCAAAATGGAATACAAGGTAAGCCTAATAAAAGTAAACAATATGAATAAACACTTGAGAGACAGAGAGCAGGTAAGCCTAATAAAAGTAAACATCAAGAGTAAGCACTTGAACGATTACATTTTCATAGGCAGACCATGTACGACATCCACGCTAATTATCAGGGAGAGATTGAATTGATAATATTGTTAAGTACCGACAGTCGTCAAGTGATAATGATGCGATGAATCTTAAATTTGAAACGGAAATGAAGTTAAGTAAGACGTTCGTGGTTGGGCTTATCATTGTACACATAGAATTAGATTAAATCAATCAGGATATAATCACTTTCTGGATAATCAGACCTCAAGTTTGATAGATTCAAAACTTTGTTTAATAAATCTTAGTAAATATATCACAATAGCGCATCAAGCATCAGTGACTGTACATCACAATAGCGCATCAAGCATCAGTGACTGTACATCACAATAGCGCATCAAGCATCAGTGACTGTACATCACAATAGCGCATCAAGCATCAGTAACTGCACATCACAATAGCGCATCAAGCAGCAAATCGAAAGCAGATTCACATACCGCCTGCCTTTCCCTTTAACGTCGTTAAACAACGGCGCATTGACGTCGCCAAAACAACGAAAATGACTGACTTTTCTCCGGATAAATCTGCAGGCGAACGAGACAAATACGAACATTTTGAAAGTACAATATGAATATTGCAGGTAAATTATAACAGCGGACATGATATAGCGAGGCATGTGTTCAATGTTGCAATTAACTTTCAGTGCAGGAAACAGATAGCGATACGTTCTTTTCTCGTCTAGAGACATTAAAGATCGCAACAACTGTTAGTACAAGATAATACATATAGAGAATGATCGCTCGTTCACAATGTCATGACTTGGATACGGACATTTGTCGACATTGCATCTAACCGTAAGTCCGTTGAAAAGCACTAACCCTGTTATCCTTAGAATATAGACTAACCCTCTACTCAAGAAAGATAATATCTAAAATTTCTCTAAATTCCGTATAATATACATGTTAAAAAAGTTGAATACTATCACGATTTCAAAAGACGATGAGTTTCACAAGCTTCCGCTCCTGATTGCGAATAGTTAAGAAAAACGCAAGCACGGTTCATGCAAAGTCAGGCTGAAGAAGCTCAGTGACAGTCGCAAGCAGTTGCACAAGGCGGGGAGTGACGAGCGACTTTTTAGACCTACATCGTGCAAGGCCTCCGTGTGACGAGACCGTTACTTATAGATTATTGTCAGCCAGAGGTAATGACAATGTCGAACAGTGGTAATTACTTAGTCAGCTAGGTGTTATTACCTATATGGTCAGGAGGATAACTAAATACGCGACTAATATAAGAGAATATCCGATTCTATTTTCATTGATTTAACAAAGTTCATGTGCATAAGAACGTGCAGTAACTGTTAGTATTACACCTAAATTTGAAAAAAGCGTTATTCGTGAGAAAGTGCGTGGTTTGAACATAACCTAGAAAATATTATACAACAAAAAAGCTAACAATTTGTTGAATCACAGTAACAACTAAACACAACAAGATGCCCAATTAAATATGAAACAATAATACAGTATTTAGATTTAAAACAAATTGATAACATAGAAATCGCAAGTTGAACGCATGACTGTTGACTGCAACCCCCCCCCCCCCTCCACTCCCAAACTGCTGACCTCGCAAAAGCGCCCAAGCAGTGAGAGCAAATGGAGAGCAGAGACCGTGACGCTTGATAGCAGAGACCGTGACGCTTGAGAGCAGAGACCGTGACGCTTGAGAGCAGAGACTATAACGCTATCATAAATAAGTAAAGAGCAAATGGAGAGCAGAGACCGTGACGCTTGAGAGCAGAGACCGTGACGCTTGAGAGCAGAGACCGTGACGCTTGAGAGCAGAGACCGTGACGCTTGAGAGCAGAGACTATAACGCTATCATAAATAAGTAAAGAGCAAATGGAGAGCAGAGACCGTGACGCTTGA